AAAAATTGCATGGGGTAGGTTTGCCAATAACCAGCAGGCTTCCTCACCTCCAGCAATTTAAAGAGGGGTGGATTTCAACCCCCAAATTTCACTAGCCAGCCATGCTGGCTGAGGAATTCTGGGAGTTGAAGTCCACCCATCTTAAAGTTGCTAAAGTTGAGGAACCCTGCTGTATATGACCAAACCACCTCATTGCACTTCTTTCATACTAGTCCCTCACTTTTCTATTCAATCCACATTCATTCACCACCTATTCATTCTTGACCCTATCTCTTCTTGTTTTACCTTCCACTTCTTAAGAATGCCATTCCCACACATTCAACTTGTTTTTATATCACTCCTGATATATCTAACTCTTATTTCCATAAAAAATAATGAAGTATGTTCTTATACACAGCCATTATTGCTTCTTTTCTTTTTGCAACAGACCATACAACACCCATTACCTTTTTACCAGTATTTGCATGTCTTAAAATGTTTCCATCTATTTCCCCATCTTTAGTAAAGATTCTCCCAAAGTATACAAATTCATCTACTTGCTCTGTTTTTTTCTCTTTCATGTATAACTTGCAATTGTTACTCCATTTTACCTATCAAACGTAGCTATGTTGGTCTACATTAATTTTCAGATCCATATTTCTTGTTCTATTATATAGTCTAGCTAATATTCACTGCAAATTATTCAAAGTGTCAGCCAGTAACATGACATCATCTGCATATACATTTGCAGCTCCATGCAACACCCCTCCATTTTCACCACAAGCACCAGGTTTCCCATGTGTTAAGGTCAGACTTCCAGTAGAAGAAGCAGCTTGGATTACCATAAGTCTTCATTATGAATCCATCAATACTTTAAACAGCCAAGGAACATCATAAATTCTTGTCTTATTCTCTGCTCAGTGTTGAACCATTTGCTAAGTGTTCCTTTTATTCTCATACATGTTTTACTTCCATCATATACTACTCTTATCACAGTCACAACTTTCCACTCCATATTGATGCAAAGTATTTGGTAATTCCAGGCTATGCACTGAATCATGTTTTTTTTCTAAACTGGGAAATACATAATACACTTCCTTTTTCACATTCAATCAGACATTTGAAGACTTTGTTGGACAGGTGGTGGTGGGTGAGATGGAAAGAGAATGAAATGAAAGAGAAATGCAATGAATTCCATATATATTTGCTAAACAGTCCAGTTCTACTAACAAGATTTACTCTACTGAGAAATATGCATGGGCACAGCAGATAATTGGCTGCCCATTTATATTTCTAAGATTCTGATATTAAGAAATTAAAAGAATAAAAAGAATACAGTGGTTATAAGGAGCGGTCTACTTCATAGCCTTGAAAATCTAGAATACATTTTAATTCCTAGAATTGTAGATATGCAGGTATAAAAGGATTCAAATTGTAGCAACACCAATATGTGTATACATGGATGGATGGATGGATGGATGGATGGATGGATGGATGGATGGATGGATAAAGAGAAAAGAGTATTTTGTGTGTTATTAGAAATACAGAAACCTGTGATGGAATGGTGTTATGAAGGCCACACTTAGGGAGGTAAGTGTTTCCTTAGCCCTCAACAGGAGCGTGGGAAGTTTAAGAAGATGAGACTGGCACCACCCTAAGGAATTCATGGTGTTGTGGCTTGATGGCTTGGGAACTTAGGTTGAGTCTGGAGAGATTGATGTCAGGTTCCGCCCAAAGAACTCCAAGAAACAATGCAAATACAGTTCTGTTGCATTTATTAGCTTCCACCTCAAGACAGAAATCTCTCCAGACTGAACCTAAGTTCCCAAGCCAGCAGGCCACATCACCTTGAGTTCCTTAGGGAGTTGCCAGCCTCAT